ATGTGGAGCTTTTATGCCCTTGGTGGCTTTATATAAACGTGAACAAAAGGCCCACCCCGGCACTATCACCTTGCAGGCAAAATTTAATAAACCTGTCAGGGATTGAAATTCCCTAAGCGTGGCCTTAGATTTGCTTCTCATTGTTTTAACTTGAGACCTCATAGCCATGAGTTTGTCTACCGGAAGGTGCGATACGCCCTCAATAGTGTCCAATTCGATTCCTAGGAAGATAATAATTGTGTCAGGACCCTCTGTTTTTTCCTCGGCTAAAGGAATCCCCATCTCTTCCATTAGCCTTTGGAATGCCAATAATGTGTCTAAGCAATCTGTCATCCCATGAGCCCCTGCAAACAAGAAGTCATCCAGGTAATGTGTAATTGCTGGATTATTAGACCTCTTAGCGGCACACCAATGTAAAAATGTACTAAATGTCTCAAAAGCTGCGCAGGAGATGGAACAACCCATTGGCATTGCTTTATCAAAATAATATTTCCCTTCGAATTGAAAACCCAGCAAGTAAAAATCATCAGGGTGAACTGGTAATAGCCTAAAAGCTGATTTAATATCACACTTTGCTAATAACGCTCCCATGCCTAAATTTTTAACCATTTTTACAGCTGAGTCAAAAGACGCATACTTAACTGATGTCAGCTGTGGATCAATTGCATCATTAACCCCAGGAGGATCCCATTGAACCACCCAGGAAAAGGGGACCTCTTTCTACCCCCGTCCTGGGTGCTTCAATGGATTCTTCCTGGGATGGGAGGAGTCCATTCAACCACCGAGGCTGCGGCTGAAGGGAGGCCTCCTTTTAGCGCTGGCCTTGGCAGTTCCATAGTATATTCACCTTATAAGATGCACCAACTTCCCTACCCTCGCTTTGGGGAAGAAAAAGTGCGTCTTATATGGCGAAAAATACGGTAGATGTTAAATAACATCGGGACAGGATGGCGCCTTGAGGAATGCCGTAGGTAAGATCTTTTTTTGCAGAGCAACTGTCCCCGAGTGACACCCTTTGGGATCTGCCTGAGAGGAAGGAATGGAACCACTGCAAAGCAGTGCCCCCAATTCCTATTCCACCCAGGTGATCCAAGAGGATGTCATGATCTATTGTATCGAAAGCCACTGAGAGGTCTAAAAGCACCAACAGGGACACACTACCTCTGTCAATGCTTAGACGAAGGTCATCGGTCAAGGCTACCATGGCAATCCAAGTCGCATTACCTCTAGTAAGGGCTAAACTCTCAGGCCAACCACAAGGATGGCCTCCTTCCATATCCCTCAAGTCTCATGACAAGTAGGGGCAAGATCTGTCCTTCTCCAAAAAGGTGCTAAAGGTGTTCATCAGACTACAACTTTCTCCCCCACTACCTGCCCCAGATAAAGGGCAAGTGTCTACTTAGCTCCTATTCCCCCACCAGGGTGTCCAAAATGGCCTTCACACCCTGTGGTAAATCTCCCAGAAATATCTGGTTCCCTTCTTCAGATAAGTAGACCCCACCAGCGTTGTAGAGCTCAGGCTGATTAAAAACTATTTGGGGATGTGGCAAGAAATGGCCCAGCCCCCTCTCCGGGCATTCTGTACTTCCCTGTTGACCCTTTTTCGGGCTATGTGAAGGTACCAGGGATTTGCACCCTGACATACTTTCCTGTGTAAAGTAGCTGACCACACTATAGATACCCCAGGCCAAGAGGACTGTATAACCTCAATATCTTGGATAGCTTGTATAATTAGGGCCTTGCCTTTTACCAGACCTATGTCATTGCTC